TGTTTTCAAAATATTATAACTCCCTCTTCAGTGTAGAAAAAATATACAGGCCTTCACTTTCTCTGACCCACTGTGTAGGCTTAGAATTTTCATACAGTCCCTAAATTACAAAAGCAATTCAGTGCTGTTTGTATTTCTCCATAACTTCCAGCCAACTGGCTTGTGGCAGTTTACCCTTCCTTCAAACAGACTGAATGTGATGTCAAACCTCGAACAGGAACTCTTTAATTTTTGGATCTTGCAATCAACCAAAGTCAAATATGATAAAATAAACACAAGAAAGAGACATAACATTAAAGTCATTTTTGAAGCATAGCTCATTTTATTGTTTAAACAGTTTTGCATAGGAAATATATCCACTTCCAGTAATTGACTGCAGTAAAAACAGCTGCTAGCAGTATAGGCTGGATATAACAGTAACAATCACAAAAAGTTGAGCCTTTATTTACACTGATTTTAATCTTGTGGCAATTTTAGCCCCTGCACCAATGTAACCAGGCATCGCCGTATGCTTGGCGTTTCTAAAATCAATAAAAGAAGGGATATCAAGGCCTTTGCTATACAGTTCACAATGGACACCTGTGGCTCCTAAACTGTCAATGAAAAGATAAAAAACAAAAAAAGGTTTTCAAAAAGTCCTCTAAAACGTACATTCAGATACATACATAGACCTTTGCACACACTTGCAGTGTAACTACGATCACTACTAGAGACTGTTTACATATTGTTTTTGTTGGTGTTGTTGTTGTTGTTCATTTTATATAATTCAGCCATAATTCCTGAAGTAAAAAATGTGCACGCAGAGGGAAGTAAAAGTGCCACAAGACCCAAAACTAAATCAGCCCTGCAGAGAAACTGGCAACCAATCTCAAAAAAGACAATTTAGTTATCGCTTTACTGCGTTAATGTAGCACTGACGACCCCCCCCCCCAACTTCACTTCCCCCAAGAAAGAAAGAAAGAAACTAGGACTACTTCCTCTCAAATTTTGAATAGGTTCGATGTGGGCATTGCTAAAAATAATTTGACAATTAATACATTACCACCCAAGAATCTCTAGAAACATCAAAAAGGTCATAGAGCATATTCAAGATGAGTTGGCCACATTCTGTTTCTCGTTGCTTCTGAAAGTAAGTCTATCACATTTTACAATTATATACAACAGACACTTGGACAGCTTGAACAGGCACTGCATTGCATCTTGTTGTCTTCCTTAAGTGAATGTTAAATCTTTTAAAAATGCTGGTTTCCATGTTTAACAACCTGATGCCAAGCGACTAGCAGCTAGCCAACATGTGGAAGGTGTGTATTGCTTATGTAGAATGAAAAAGAAAGTTTAAATGTTTCCTCTTACTCTTCGTATATTTGCCCTCAGAATGTGTGACATTCAGTTTAAAGGAAAATAACACATATTGCATGAGTGCCACAAGCCCTCCTTGCATAACGTTGTCCTGTTTCTCCATGATTGACGTAATACTTTCTAAAACAATGTTGTTGTGAGTGTCAAATCTACCTTGAAGCTGCTTAAGGGTAGAGACCTGATAAAAATGTCAAACATTTTCAACAACAATTTGATTGGCTACATTTAGTCCTGTTTTGAAACAGAGACTTTTAACCTGGCCCCGAATTTGGAAACTATTATTAGCTGGAAGATACAGTACCCTAATCTGAAGCATCTGCAATTAATGACATGTTTATTCATACTTAGAAAGAAGGTCATTCCACATCACATAAGGCATAGACACCATGTGGGATGGCGAAATGAGGGATTCCTCGATGCTTTTCTTTAAAGATATATACAAGAGCATCGTCTGCATATTGGCGAATTTTGCCCCTCAACATTCGCCGGCTTAATCCATACTTTATTGATATGTTGCATCAATTGTTTGCAACATTTCTTCTGAAAACAAACCAAAAGCACCAGAAACCAAAGAAACTTTAGAATTTTACCCTGATTCTCGCTTAGGGTCAGGTGCAATCTGGGGCCTTTTTTATACTGGTTAAGTGACATCACTTCCCAGCTGCTACAAGGGACACACTCACACCACCGTCTTGTTGGACAAGAATTCCCACCCATTACCAAAAAAAACAAGATAAATCACATCACACTCACTATGGCCACACTAATGAAAGAACAATTCAAATATCTTAGAAGTGTTTCCTAATTGGAAATAGCTAAGCTCTAACCAAGATCAGAAAAAATAACATTAAAATTAAAAAAGCCTTCATTGTTGTTGTTTTTTTCTATGTATGGATCAGTAAAGAATATTTCCCAACCCTTTTTGACTATTCATACAACAACACGACAACTTAAAAAAAACACTTTAGATTCTATTTATGGTGAATTCTGGAGAGTTCTAACCCAAATCCAGCCTCCGAATAAAAAAAAAATTGAATTTTCCTTAAAATGGAATTGACTTATTTTCCCCCAGAATTGAAGATTAACAAATAAGGGCTTAAGAGAAGAACTCTCAAGAAAGTTTACAGTGTACAAACTCCTGTCCTATGGCAGGTTTTTAATTCAATAGAAAGACCCTCATCTTCTCTCATTTTGTAGTGTCAGAGGCACTCTATCACACCTCCAGCTCACGAGTCACACACACACACACACACACACACACAGACACACACACACACACACACACACACACACACACACACACACACACTTGGGGGAATGCACACAAACACCCAAGCTGCCAAAGCAGAGTTCAACCCGACGGACTACTGCGATCGACAAAATCAGGATATTTACCTTTATGTACAGTCTACTATTCAAATAAACACCAACAGCAAAGTGACCCTGACACATCCACAGGCAAACACACATCCACTCACAAACACACCTGGGGACAATGCACTTCAGTGGGGTCTACAATGGCCAAAGGCTGCAAAGCACTTATAGTTTTTCTTTTAAAGAGAAATAAAGAATAATAATACAATTTTAAAAAAAACAGAACAGTGCACATAGAACAGGGTGACTTTTTCAATTGTTTTTCTGCATAAGAAATCTGGGTGAAGATGGAGAGATTTAGCTTGACTTGAGGATTCTTTCCCAAATTAAAAAAAAAAAATTGCTTCTTAGTCCTCTGCGCGGTCGTACCTCTCTGAGGGGAACATTTCTTTCACGATTGTTGGGGAAAGAGTGCAAAAGGTATCATAGCAGCGACAGAGTTGCTGCTCTCTCTGTATGAAAGGTATTTCTATTTTTTTATAATAAAAAAAAGAAAATGATTAATATAAATAATGCCCTGTATTACTCCTGAGAGATGTATTTAAGACTGGGTTTAAAACATTGTACGGGGTAGAAGACGATTGCCTATGTGCTATTTAAGTGCTATATTTGTCTTCTAATGGATTCTATTTAAGCTTCTACTGGGCAACTGGACAGGTTAGACAACGCAACGCTTCAGCATACTCTACGGGGCTCTGCATGGAAAGTATCTCAGGGATCGACATATGTGCATATCCTATATACATTTATACAAATCTTCTACTTATAAAATACTTTCTAAAGGCTTGCTTGAGCCTGTCTGCAACTGATTTGGACAGGTCTCAGTAGCATTAGTCGGTGTGTGATTGTTGCGCAGGTCACAGGCCACTTCACTGATGTGTTTAAGGCATCTACATGGGAATTGCATTCTGTTACGTCTACAATAGTAACGGCGTAGGATTCAATAAAAGCATGCAACAGTATTCCTCCTTCGTTGCAGCTTTCAGGGACCTAAAACAAAAAATGGGAATTTTAGATATTGTGATTTCTTAAAATGATTGTCATACTCAAGTCAAGCCGTCTCTCCTGTGAAAATGAGCTCCTTCAAGGTCACATTCTAGCACCCCAGGTGGAAAGTTAAAAGAGTCACAGTAGACCAATCAGTGACTTTGCAGCCGTAGAAAGACCAAGGGTGCATTTTCTTTTTTTTTTATAAGTACTTCTAGAAAAATACCGCCCTCCCCTAAAACTACCAAATCTAAATACACTGGGACATGTTACACTGTCATTCGGTAGGCCTATATGCTAAAGAAAGAAAAAAAAAAGAAGACCTTGTCATATACTGCATAGAAAGCAGCCCCCACTTTGGTCAATAAAAAGGAAAACACCCACAACAACAACAACAACATCATCAACAACAACAACGACAAACAACGATATCAACAAAATAAATGCATTACAATATTGTCTATCTCCAAACTAGCCTCTAATAATTGACGCATCTATAAGCACTACCTACATAGGCAAAACTTGGTATTGCATAATTTTCAGAATTCCACCCTCCACAATAGTAACTGGAAGATGAACAAAAAAATGAGCAATTGAAAAATAAAGAAAACAAAAGATGACAGGTTACTGGAAAAACCACCAAAATACTGAGAAAACAAAATGCTGGTTGGTTACAAACTTTAAAACGGCAACTATACACAGCGTTGATATGCAATGTAATTGTGAGATAGAGTAGTACATGAAGTTAAAAATCAACAATTTCATTCAGAGTACAAAACAATTCTTATCATAAAAATGTTAATTTTTTTCTATAATGATAAATGCAGCAAAAACAAGTGTAGTGATGTCTCTATATTCAAAGGCAAGGCACGTAATGTGGACTATATGTCATCGTGCAAATTAAGAGTACTGGAGAGATTTTCCTCGTATAAATATGTCTGGACTGGAGAGGCATTGGCTGTGAACATGCTGTGCACATCTTTTATTTTTCAGGGATTTGCCACCACCTGGATTTATAATTTCAGTTTTCAGCCTCTTCCACTGAAGAGTGAACCTTTCACAAACTGGAGCCTTACACATAAGCCGACTGTACATTAGCATGAATTTTACATTGCCATTACCGATAATTAATACTTTGCATTCCATATTTTTGTAAACATAAGCTTTAGAAGCTGATGGCCAAATGCTCTTGATCTTATCCTGAACATTTTAAGAAATTAAATGCTTTTTTTACACACTATGTGTCCCATTTCTTTGCTTATGTTCAGTTAACACCCCCACCCCCCCCCCCCCCAAAAAAAAAAAAAAAATCTTCCCATATTGAAAGGTAGGGCTCAAAATAGTTCTCAAAAAAAGTGCTGGTTTTGCTCAGCGCTGCACAGGTAGCTTAGTGCTTGCCTTAAACTGCCTTTCATGCTTTATGATTTTGTCATGTGAGGAGACGGATGTGTGACTGAAATAATTTTCAAATGTTTTTTTTTTAAACATTTTACCCATAAAACCCATTTAATATTTATCCCCCTTCCTTTAGAGTCTTAGGGCTGACAGACTGATAGCTTCCCTTCAAAAATTCAATTGCACTTGCCTCTAAAGAGAATTTCTTATACTCCGTCTTTAAATTCCTTTTGTAAAGGAGTTACAAATTCTTTAATGAGGGGTCCAATCTCAAACCTTACATTTAGTGTTTTTTGAAAACCGCATCGAGAGTTCTTAACCCTCACAAGTGTTCGCATTCATTTTTTAAGTAAGTAGCAGTAAAGAATAAGCAAAGTCAACACATTTTCTGAACAAAGAGTCGTGTCACAGTAAACTGAAATCAAATGGAAGAAGAAACACTCTGAATTCACAATTTTGTTTGTTCCTATGGTGCACACAGTGAATCGTTTGACATGGGAAAGCCTCTTTATAAGAGGTCTGAGTCGGAGAGCTTAGAGTCTCAGAGCCATCCACCAGGCAGAGGTTATCGATGCACAGACCGCAGTGTGTGTGTGTGTGTGTGTGTGTGTGTGTGTGTGTGTGTGTGTGTGTTTGCGTGTGTTTGTGTGTGTAATATTGACATTTTATGTTTTCCCCTACCTTGGAAAAATAGGAATTGCCGCTAAGAGACTAGAGTGTCATGCAATAAAACATTAAGGCATCTATACATCACAGTAGTTGAATGGATTGAAAAGTTCTGCAAACGAAACAACTGACTGGTGGGTGGTGGATGTGTGGGCGGGGCTTCGGCGATGAGACAGAAGACCTGAAACTTTTTATTTTTTTCCCTCTGAACTGACTCCCTCGTCTTCACTTCACGGCCAGTGTCCTTCATGGGGAGGGACGGGAGATGGAGAGGGGGTTAGATTGTGGTGGGGGAAAGGGTTGGGGGGACGATTGCGCAGCTCGTGCTGCTTTGCTGGTTTCATCCATGGCTGCAGACACCTGTAGTGCGAGCTCTGCACCACCCATCCACCCTATGGGGTCATCCGGCCTCTGCGTTTTCAGTTCCCTGTCTCAGCGGGAACCAGGGGCTCACCAATGATGTTTATGCTGTAGTTCTGGTGGACATTTGTTGGCAGAATCGGAGTCCCGTTCGACACTTGGAATGGAACTAAGCTCGCCCAGGTACCAGGACTGCGGAGAGAGAAAAAAAACAGACAGAAAAAAGAGAGACGGAGAGATTAGTCACATGCAATTAACTTGTTTGTGCAGCATGCAGTCAAAATCAGATTCTTTCTTTCAATTATCCTTTACACCGCTTCTCTAATGACCAGCATGACTGCTCTGCTGACAGTCATCAAGGCTAAAAAGGTCTTATTTTTTATTTTACTCAGACAGAAGGAGGGAAAGAAAAAGGAAAATGGCAGCACTAGCTCGTTAATTTACGCTGAGGTGATTCCACTTGATTCCCAGTGGAGGACATCATGTGACACAAGCCTTCTTCTCTGCATTGATGGCAGTATAGAAAAGCATGAGGGGGGGGATTGTGATTGGTGTAGGGGGAGGCGGGTGGGGGGGCTGTGGGGGTGGAAGTGGAGGGGGTCCCAACACAAAGCTGTCCCATCCCTATTCATCTCACGCTAATGGCAAAACAACACAGTGATTGTTCCTGGGGAGCAACGGTGCTAACTGAAAACGCGAGCTGGAACAAACAGCATGTTGTTCCCGTGGGGTGCTGCGCTACGTAGATGTCAGATAATTAGCCCCCTCCCCTCCGCCCCCTTCTCCCCCACAGGCCCCCAGTGTGCACTCGTCTAACTCCCTCCACCTCTCACATCACCCCCACGAAGTCTGAGAGTACCTGTGTTGCACATTTTCCACCCGATTTACCAAACTTTTTTTTTTTACGAGGTGCTAAAGTTGACCCGATGTGGCCTGATGAAGACGAGCAGGAGAAACGGGACAACTGTTTGACAAAATGAGTGGAGAGAGAAGTTGGAGGAGAAAAAACTACAGGGGGGACAGAAAGAGAAGATGGATGAAGCGGAGGAGAGTCTTATCACATCAACCACTTTTCATTTTATACAAACCATGACTCACTGCTCTTTAACGTCAAACAGCGCATGTTCAAGTTTGATTCACCTCCGAGAAAACAAACTTTTGCTTTTAATCAGAAGCGACAAAAGGTAAAGAGAAAAGATGTTTCAAAGTAAAAACAAACATGCCCCGTGATTTAGACAGTCTCTGAGTGCGCAAAGAGTTAAAAACAACCTCAAGGCTAATCCTCTCAAGCAGTTTTTTCCCTGTCCAACTCGTCCTCATGCTATCCCCTCTCTCTCCTGCTCTCCTCCCTCCTTCTCTCTTTCCTCCTGCCAAAAATCATCGGACAGGAAAGGGGGGGGATTAAGTTTTTCCTACCTTGCTGAACAAAGAGTGCACAGAGTGGCCAAGGACTGCAGCGTTCTCTTTTTCTCTCTTTCTTTCTTCCTCCCTCCCTCCCTCCTACTCTGTGTTTTCTCTTCCCTTATGAAACTCCTCTCAGGTAATGGCTTACATTAGGAGGACCACACAGCTACAAGCGAGGACTCGCCGGCCTTTGTGCGCTTTAAACAGGCAGATCGGTTTTAACCTTGTTAGAATCGATGGCTGTCAGTCTGCATCTGCATCCCAAAACATAAAGCTGCACTAGATGACATTTTTATGTAAAAACTCATCTGCTATCAGCCTAGATTACACAGAAGGGGGGGGGGGGGCCTGAAGACTCCCATCACTGCTAATAGAGGCTTGAGGATTTGCCTTATTAGAATGACTTTACTTCAATACAAACTGTGTCCATAAAAGTTCCATCCAAAGAAAGTGTTTGCTTCTAGTACCTTTTAAATCATTATGTATTATACCATTATACCAATTTGTCAAGCAGTGACTTTTGCTCTCTGTTTCTCTATCTCTCATCTCTGTACAACTTCATGCGTTTACGTTTCTGCACTTCAAGCAGCTCTGTTGGACCTCCATTGCTGCATTTCCTCAGATAACCTTCAAGATGGCCTCCCGGTGCCCTGTCCAAGCTCCCAAACCTCGCTAATTCTACTCCTTGCAAGCACAGCCCGGCCATGCAGCGTGCTTCGTTTAAGGATTAGCTCCCCAAATTAGATTATCTAATGGCATCTTAATGGATTGCTGACCCATTTCCTGCACAATGGCAACATGCGGGTCCGGCAGCGTTTTAATTTGGGGGATAGAACTGAAGAGGCATTGCCGAGCGCTGCTTGTAAAGGGTAAGCATGATAAAGCAGAAATCTGTCTTATTCCATCTATATGCTGAACATTGAATAATCCTCCAAAGAGGGGAAAAATAGCTTTGAATTACCGACCCAGCTTTGTAATGAATTAACTAAATTCAGTTGGGATCTAGTTTATCTGAGCTCATTACTGTACGCTCACATGCAGGAAAGAGGAGGAGTCAGCTGGTGTGTGAGGAAAGAGACCTCGAGTTGCTGCAGGGGACATTTTCCCTGCTACCTCAGCTAGCCTATTAGGAGGCCTCCTGAAGGGGGTTCTGTCCTGTGCATGTGTGTTTGTAAAAAAAAAAAAAAAGTTTGTGTTTGTGACTGCACAGAATGAGCTGTACGCACACACTCACACACACATACAGTTTCAGAGAAAAAGGGGAAAAGGAGACGTAACAGGAAAAGGCATAGCTCAGCGCGCTCACCCTGCCATGCTGAAACCGTTCAGGTTTAACCCCCCCCCACCCCCCAACCCAGGGAGGAAGACGTGTACAGTGTGAAGAAGGGGGAGGTAAAGAGGGGAGATTCTGTGGCTTTAAGTTAAAGATAGTAAGCATGACTTCAGCATTAAGCCCAAGTCCAAAGCTGAGCTTGTTAAAATGTGGAAAGTAAAACATCCTCACGTGGCTGAGAAGCTGACCTGAAATGACTTTTTAATCAACGTGGTTAGACTTCATCATTCATTAATACCTTCTTCCAGGTTTGAAATATCTTGTTTCTGTTGAGGGTGTATTCTAGAGGAAAGCTGTGTTTCAAAACATGAATCATTGCAGGATATTTGTCTTATTTCAGCGAAATATAACAGGTCAAAGAAATATGATCAAGAAAAACTAAACAGAACAAAGCTGAAGTATTTGTTACTTTCACTAGATGATTCAAGATATGATGTTACTTTACATGGGCTAGGTCTTCATTTCTTGTATGTTGCATTAAAAGTAACATTGAACGAGGATCTATTCTTGGGGAAAAGTCTGTAACGGGGTAGAGAATAGTCGTTAATTACGGCTTAACCAAAAACTAATGGTCTCAAGGTTTAAAAGCAAAAATGCAAAATCTTACTCAGGACTACAGCAAAAATAAATAAGGAAGTTGAAAAAAAAAATGAGAGTGGAAATAGATGGGGAAATAGAAAGAGGGGGGAAGACATCATGAGAGAGACACAAGGACATTTCTTTCAAGTTCATCAGAGCAAAGCAGGACCTCATGTCAGATGTGGAAAAATGTGAATTTCTAAGGAGTAGGACAATATGGAAAATCATTTCTGATCAGGTATTATTAATCCTAGTTTGTGTGTGTTGGTGTGGTGTGAGAGGGAGGGCATGAAAGAATGAAAAGGTTACCTTTGCCAAGTAATCCCCAAAGTGTCGTCAGTGGCACTGGGGCCATAATGCCTGCCGTTTTGAGTCACGCTCCAGTCACACTTCCTCAGCTGTCAATTGAAACCTAGCAGTCAGTTCACTGGGCCAAGACAACTTCCACTTCAGATTACACTACAACTCAACACTGTATACACATAGCGCATGCAGAAGAGAGCAGGAGCAGCTTCAACAAAAAAAAATCAATAAGTCCAAAAGGATTCCTTAATGTTACTGACAATGTAAAGAATAGTGAATGGTTTCAGTGTATTCAGTCATGGTAGGGTAAAATCAAAGCTATGGATGAAACAGACATGAAGAAAAAACATGCAGTTGCAGTTAATGTTAACAGCTAACCTGGAATAAAAAAAAAAAAACGGGTTAGTTAGTCACAAAAGTGAGTGGCATCAGTTCTTCTGTGTGGTTACTGCTGTTGAAGCTGGTTAGCCAATGGAGCCATGCAATCCAGTGGATGTTTGCACCCTGTCGATAATCACTGCTTCACTGTAAGTGCACTTTAAGATTCAGGAAGGAAAATGCATGCCCTCAAGCATGCAGACTTTTTTTTCATTAGCTAACTGTTTTTATTGATTAGGGGTCAAAATTACAATGAAGTTAAACAGCATACACACTCGCACACACACTCGCACACACACACATGCACGCTTACCCTAACCCCCCATTCCCCCCCCCTTTTAAGACATGCCAACCTTACATACAGATTACAAATTACTGCTACAAAAAAAAGCCACACACAAACTGTGTCTCCTTTGCATGCATTATGCGGGCACACGTGTCGGCAATCCAGCTGAGAGCTATCTCTGCCAATACCAACCTAACCTTGCCCTGTGGTCAACACATTCATTTAGTAATGCATCAGGCTAAAACTGCACTGTTAGCACTCTGTGTGCAGCAGCAGACGTTCTGCAGAGGCTCTTAAGAGGGATTTAATCAGATATATACGCATACGCTGAATATTCAAAGCCATTTGTGGCGGTTGAGAAATGTGCTCTTTCTCCTCTAAGCACCTGGGGGAACACATCAGGAGACGATGATGGGTTCTTACTCAAGCCATACTTAAAAACATGGATGTGTTTTTGTGATGCTGCTTGAAGAAGTGTAAAGTAGTGGCAAGAGAATGAAAATCAGAGGAGTTACGCTCAAAAGATTTCCAATCATACCATTTAATGTAAATGTTTTACCAGATCAGAGTCTGTCTATTAAAACTGAATAGAAAATAACAACTTGTTCCATCCAGTGTTTTCCCCCCATGTTTATTGAAGGTTGGGGAGACTAAGCCCCCACGTCGCTCCCATGCTCTCCAGCCTGACAAAAGCTTGGAGAGAATGTGCGGGCTGGGCCAGACGCTCAGTGCCACCGCTCCTCAAGGGGCTCGCCATCTGTCCGCTGGCACCGGCACATCAGAGTGGCACAGGCAGCAGGGGGAAAAAGGGGGACGGAGCCGGGGAACGTTAACCAAACAGATGCGGGCAGATTGTGGATTAGGATCCTTCTTTAGATAATACCAAATGACATCTGATCATGGATCTTTCCCTGCGGAATGCTAGATGGTGGCATTCCCTCGAGGGGTTAACCAAGGCGAGAGATGAATGGAGGGTTTTCACACATTCACTGCCTGGGAATCGTAGAGCAGGTGTGGGAGCGTGTGGTGGTGTTGTTCTGTTTTGTTTCTTTCATTTAAGAAAGCCTACTGCGTGTATGTGTGTGTTTGTATCAGGCCTCTATTTAAGTGGGGCCACAATATATAAACAGGCTCTGCTCTTAAAAGTAGATAACGACCAACTGTCTTCTTTATATCGTCAGGAAATTATAAAACTGTTGCTTGGGGGAAAAAAAATGTAGACTGAACAAGGATCAATGGATGTATGTGTATGTTTTTGCTGTATTTCTGAAATAATGACTCTAGTGTTCCCAAATTGGCCGCTGTTGTTCAGTTTTCCTGTGTTTAAAATAAAATAAAAATCAAAGGTAGCTTTGAAAGCAGTAGTGTATGTCATGGCCTCTATCCATCATACAGACAGTCAGACAAAGAACAGTGCACCTCCATGGTCCAGCTGACCTTCTTCAAAAAAAAAACTCTTCAAACAAATGTATATGAAGCGTTTCCCTTTTCCTACCAAGCCTGGAGGCGACTGAACAACTTAAAATATCAGTAAGCCTCACAGATCCCGCACAATAAACATCGCAACGCCAGATGAAGACAATGACAGAGCGCTGGGGGAAAACGTTCAGTCCTGAGGGTCTTGGCTCGGTGTCGGCCTGCTCCGCTAGGCTAGATCCCAGGCTCTTAAATCACACCACAAAAAAGAAAAACAACTGTGACAAGCAGAAGCTTTATGAATCAATATGAGTACTGTTTAGAGTTCACTAAGTCGACAAGAAAATGTCTTCATCTGGTTATGAAATGAAATATCCTTCTAGAAGACATCACTGTTGTGTTTACAAATTTCACACATTAAAGCCTCTGTCTTTCTAATTTGACTCTTTACAAACAGAGTAAGTCCATTTTTTTGTTCTTCTCTGGTTTATATTGTTCCATTCTGTCAGTTTAAAGGATCCAGAAAATTAAATGACTCAATCACAATTAGGGTAAACAAACTACGCCATCTCTGTTATTACATCGTCATACCGTACTTGTTAAGAGAATATTATACATACGGCTGATTTACACTTCCAAGTCTAAAACAAAAGGGGCCTCAACATATCTAGGCACAGAATTCGGCAGCCCTTGCAGTTGCTTTAAGACTTGCTGCTGTCACGTGCAGTCATTCTGTTTCCCACTGACTGAAGTAGCAGAGCTACGAGAAAATGTGGAAGACAAACTGTGCGACATCAGCCAAGTGAATCCTCCCTCTTGGAAAAAAGAAAAAAGAAAAAAAGCATCCCCTGACTGCTGACAGACATTTGCAGGGATTTCTTTCTTTGCTTACTCTGATTTTGAGGATAAAACGGGGAGTGAGAAAAAAAAAAACAGGTTCGAGAAAAAAGAAAGGCTGAAAGAGCAGTGAGGAAACAGAGGCCAGCTTTGTCATTTTTTTTACTAAACATAAAAAAAAAAAAAAAAAGAGAAAAAAATCAAGCTGAGGAGAAACCCAGCAATCATTATGTAGCCGCGTGCAGATGCATTCAATTAGTTGTGGTTGGAAAAGCCTTGGCCTGAGACCAGCACTTTCAATAAGACGGGGTGGGGGAGAGCACTCTCTCCCGTCTGACAACACCGCAACACTCATAAGACACACACAAACACACGCACACGCACACAGAAATACATGGGGTCACCACATCTGTCCTAGGACCACTGCCTGGGCCAACCATGTGACGCCAACACTAAATATGCAGCTTGTGTTCTATGAATGAGGGTGTGCACTGATTGCATGTGCTATGTGTCTACAGTATGTATGTGTGTGTGTGTGTGTGTGTGTGTGTTCCTAAAGATATGTGTGTAGGAAATAGAGCTGAGCACATTATACTCTCAAATACACCCCTATGTCCCATCCATCTTCTGAGTAGTGGCCGCACAATGACAGAGCATTTCCTGACACTTTTTTTTTTTTTTCTTCTTTAATGTGACCATAGGAAAAAACTCTTTCTACCCTAGACTCACACACTCACACACTCACATCTACTCTCAAAATGACATGTTTTTTTTTATTTATCTCAATATTCAAGACACAATGTGAGACAAAGTGTACTATGTTGTTTGTAGCTTGTTCATTTCATCAGCATGGATTACATACGTCTGGTTTAACTCAAATCTGCAAACAAAAAAGTATTTCCTAACTGAAATCATTGAGGTTATAAATTGTGGTTAAATTGGGTCTTTACAAAAATATAGAAATTGTTATTTCTAACAGTAACAACATAAAACAGTATTGTACTATCTAAAGCAAGAAAACGTTTTGGATTCTCACTGTGATCTAATATCTTAAGCATGATAAGCTTCAATCCTTTAAAGGGAGAGAAAATGTCCTTTGTGGTGTTGTTTTGTGTACACATAACACCCCATTGCTATGCTTGACCTTCACCTGTAAGTGCTTTGATCTGAGCTAGAAGAGCCCTTATTTAACAAGACACTCCAATGCTCCCTACCAATCAAATTCAGGGCTGATACAGAGGGCAGGGATTTCTCATCTGATATGCAGGGAGACATGGGGGACAGGTAATGAAAGGATAAAAGGAGCGGGTAAGCTGAGTGTTGGGGTGGTGGGGGTGGGTCTCACCTGTTGCTGGTGGAGGAAGGTGGGATCTCTCGTGCTCAGGCCGACAAAACGATTAGCCGTTGGGGTGCCGGGGGATGAGTAGCCTGGGTAACATGCCATCGCAAAGACACAAAGACAGGCTTGCATTAATGAGCATTTCAGGATATTGGACATACATGGAACTGTTGCCCATTCCAGTTATAAAGCATCATTTTCCACTAAATATATTTTGCTTTTTTTTGTTATTTTTTTATGTATATGCTTGACTTTTATATATGATTAAAAAAAAGTCAGCTTGATGCAGTAAGTACATGGGTTTCACATGTGTGTGTGTGTGTACACAGTGTCATCTCCATGACAGAGTACATTATAGTCATGACCACACATAACTACATCTAACAGTGATGTAAACAAAAGCCCCAAAAAAGGCTTCAAAATTTACACAAGATCAGAGAGAACGTTTTTTAGTCCAGCTCACTTTAGTTCACAAATAGCTTCATGTACGAGTATGAATATAAGAAGTCAAGAAAACACAGAAGTGCACAATGACAATGAATTGTAAATTCTACACATTGGCTTCATTACAACTGAAGGACGCTTTCTGTTTGGTGGATGTCGTGGTTATCAACGCTGGACATTTTGGATGGACTCACCTTCTGTGGATGTAGTGATGGGCTTGGTGTCAGGCATGGAGAGCGTGACGGGTCGCACTGTGCCGTGGTGTGGGGAAGGAGCCAGAACTGGGGTGAAGTGGCCTGGGACCTTTCCTATCACCTGACCACTGCTGTTAGGCTGCAGGTGGGGGGGGGGCACACAAAACCACAATGAAGACAACAGACATAATTCAGCACAATCATTTTAAGATTTTTATTTTAAAGAATGATTGACTTGTTCAAATTAGACGGATCTTCATGCCTAATCGTTTGGTGGTTTTCTCCTTCTTCTTTTTCTTTTTTTTGTTTCTTTACGAGGGTAAAGTACATCTCAGGTCTCAATAACAACAATATCCTATCCCAATTTCAGGGGGGGGGAGTTCATTTATTTAAACTGCTCTTTTTTTCCTCTCAAAGACCAATAAAATCAAATAAACAACAAAAGGTGACTGCTCAGTCCTACATTTAATGCTCTGTGTGAAGAAAAGGTGTCAGTTCTTTTAGTTGCTGTTTTGTCACAGTTATTACTAAAAACTCTGGGGGGGCAGGAGCAACAATAGATCCTCCGTCACTGACGATGGATTTCCTACATGATTTTACACAATGATTTTAATGGGGACCATAAATGGAATTTAGGAGGACTCGGGCGTGAAAAGGCTGAGAGCGCTGCAGACTGACCTGTTACAATGGTGTGAAAGCGCGAGTATAGAGAGCGAGGCAGAGGGACTATATATATAGAGAGAAAGAAATAAAGGAAGCTAGTGGGAGCTACTCTTTCAGACTGCTGGAGACTGTCTGGGGCGTTCATTTCAGGGCCGCCCCAAGTTCAAAATTCAAACAGGCCTTTTTGCAAAAGAATTGTGTCCACAGGGTTCCCTCCCATGTGAATAGAATGTTTAATTAGAGTGTAATATAATCTGCGTTAAAGCAAGCATAAAAACATTCTGGCACTCGTCCATGGGATTATAAGCGCTGTGTTATTTGCCAACCACCCCCCCCACCCCCCAACCCCCCCAATCCATCCTCCCTCCTCCTGCAAGTGGTCTAGAGCTCTCACTTCCCTACTGGACCCACCAACCCAACCCCCCCCACTTCTTTATCCAGCACCCCAGCAGAGGGCCAGTTAATTCTGCACAAGAGCCGGGCCCCGGCAACGGCAAATATTTACAACCTTTATCATTCCCCGCGGTTTTTCTCTAGAGTAACAGCCAGTCCCCCCCTCCACCACCACCCACCCCCCCTGACTCGCTCCCTGCACTGGAGTTGGAGCCGTCTACGAGGCCTTTGTTTACAGTGAGAACAGCGGGGATATAAAACTCACATAAATATCACACTGCTCTCTCATCTATAGAGACGCCTGCTCTCGCTCTCCCCCGACACACTGGCCGCAGTGTGTATCCACAAAGTATAAAAGCTCTCAGCGCTTTGATTTACTACAATGTCTTGATACAGTCTTGTATGTCACATGTGACTGCAATTCCAATAGTTTGGTTGACTTTTTACCGAGGCTTTGGGTTGTTTGCTCTTAGAGCTGCTACAAGTAAAAGGCTGGAAATTAACATGCACATTTGTGCTCCAGTATTATATAAAACCAAACAGATTTGCTTCTCTCTGTCACGACGTTCAGTCTGAAGCTGCCTGTATGATAAAAAAAAGTGTTTTCTTGACTATGATTTCATTCTCTGTAAATTATTCTCACTAATTAACTCCATAAGGTGGCTCGTATAATCAAGACTTTCTATGACCAATTGTATGTCCCCATATACAGCGCAGGCTAATCTAAACGACATGTGTTCATGACGTTCCCTGGCCTGAATTAATCACATTTGGTCAGCTTTAGGGCTTAAAATGTCTAATTTGAGGTTTTTCATATTATACTTGTTGTTCAGACTTCATAAAACACTTCAATTTCAGATAATGAAAACTGAAAATGTATTTCCTCTGTTGCTTGCATATGCACCCATGAGGCAGTACTGAAATAATAACACATGCATGCTATTTATCTTATCTGTAATCTGGAGGTCAGATGGGATAACATCAGATGGGAATATAACAAACAAAACAACTACTCCAGGCCATGTAAGTCCTGCCAAATCAGCCTCTGACTCTTGGCCGTCAAACTCGCCGCTTCAGAGCTGAAAAGAGAAAGAAAAGGAGACTGACCTGGTTGCTCTGTGGGCTGGACGGGTCGTATGACGGCACGTAGCTCTTGAGGGGATCCGCGGGGTTGAGGTGAGGAGGGTAGCGGATGGTGGTGTGCGAGAAGTAAGGTGACGGTGCTGGGGGCAAGATGGCAGAGGCGGAGAACTGCAGGGGCGAGTGTGGAGGGGGGCTCCTCGTCGATATGACTGCAAGAGAGACACAGAGAGAGAAGAGAAGGAGTCTTTTTGAGCTCAGATAAAGTGATCATCATTGATCCGAGAAAGGTAAATGAACTATCGGCATAGATTTTTCAACTGTGTTTGTGAGGAGAAAGTCGATAAGAGCTGCTGGTTGGATCCATCGCCACTCACCACTGTGTCCTACACCTGTTAGGCCTGGGTGGTGAGGCTGAGAGAAAGTGCTGAGTCGCGGTGAGGAGTCCTGTGGGGAAGTAGGGCTGAACAGCGGCTTCTCTGGCTTCTTCATCGTAGGAGAGGACATGTCTGCGGCGAGGGAAAAAAAAAAGAAAAGAAGCACACGCAGAGACATTAATGCTAGCTTAAGGTAGGGACATTTTCAGATTCCTTCATTACAATTGTTCTTCTGCAAGTCTAGAATAAAGAAAACAAAAGTGAAGAAGAATGTCACCATTTTTGTTTGCTCTTGTGTTAAACATAAATACAATTAAAGGTCATTTCTGATAGGAGAACTTAAGTCATTTTGCCGACGGTCGTTCAAAAAACTTCCCTTACAGCTTGCTCTAATGCTCCCAATTCTCATGAATGAAAGGAATTAAGTGCCAAAAAAGGAAACATGTTTAAAAAATCAAGCAGAATTTGATCTGCCTGGGATTAGTATTACTAAGAGCCTCATGTCTTTGGCAAAAGCTGTAGTCAAGGGAAAATGCTCTATGTCAATAACAGACACTGCAAAGGGTCAAAATCACTTGTAATCTCTGAGATCATTACAAATCACCGGACATCCCCCAAGAAACATGAATCCTGTGAAAAATGTGGCTTTTGTCATGTTGGAGAGATACAATTAAATCCAGTGCACTGATGCGCAGTTGTAAAGCAGCCGGTGGCTAAAATAGGATTAAAGAATTTTCGAGACCCTCACGCAATATTAAATAGAACATTACACAGTAACATCTGCTCGCCTGGGCATTACATGGTGTCTGACAAGCTCCTGTAATTCCCCATGAATAATCCAAAAGGCTCGGCAGAAGAACTTGTTTTGTTGAGAAAATCTTGTGCAGTTCTAGAAACTGGAAGTTGTGTGCGCAAACCCTACGAGTCGCTCATTATTGCTGCTCTACACTTTCATGATCAACGACGGGCTGTCACGGATGTGCGGTTTTCAATTTTCCATGGTGAGACGCAGTGTCTGAAGGGAACGTGATAACAACAAGATGCGAGGGGCAACCGCCTATGTCTGCGCGTGCTTCTTCTATGAACATCCATCAAGCGCTTTTTTTTGGTCAGCCTCAGATTTTTTGGGGTGTACAACGTTCAAATCATCCGTCTCTTCGACCTCAAATATGTTATATAAACCCTGTTTTTGAAGCATAACCATTGTATCAACTGTCCGTCTTTTCGAGGGAAAGACGCACAGTGGAAGAATCGCTGCGATCCACGGCGGAGGGAGCAAGGAAAGGTGGCTGGAATTCAGGGGGATTTCCCACTCTGAGGTTGCAAGAGGATACAAGCTTAAGTGCTTTCATTTTCGTCAGAGGGAGAAATACCTTTGAGAAGATTCATATCACTGCTTAATGTTTCAGTGTAAGAACAGGACATTTCTGCGGTTGGAGGTATTCAGCTTTTCCTCCGTTCTGCTAATTAAATCCATCACTGCCTCAGGAATTCAACTGGACAAGTGATGACTAGAAAATAAAAATAAAAACACTTAAATAAAAGTGATTTTACATTTAGACTAGTTATCCTTTGTTACATAGTTCATTTTGAATTAAATGGGAGAGCATGTTTGCACCAAAAATCCATAAAAGGAATCACTTTTTCTTCTTCTGCCATATGAGGTTTTGTCAAATGATAACCATATGCAAAAAATGACCACTTGGCACTTGGTAGGCCTCATATGGGTTTGATATCACCCCACTTCTCATTTATTCTCTCCTGACAGAGTAATAGCAGTCTATGGAGAGTTTCCTACCCACTGCTTTCCCTTTCTCCTCGCCCCAAAGTGTCTAAGTTTACACAGAGCAATACTTTCGAGGCCTCGTGCAAAGACACGGGGCCGAAGTTTCATGCAGCCACATTGGGCTGTGGTTGAATCCCACCATTGCTGCCTCTTGTGCATCATCTGGTGTTTTTCTCCCTCAGCTTTCCTACATGCTGTATCAAAAGGGGAAAAAAGGAGGAATGCCTGGAGATCAAGGTGTTTAGAGTTCAAATGTGAAACCACACTATTTATCGCTTGTTTTCAGTCATCCCTGTCCGTCACAGTCTTCACAAAATGTTTGCTAACATCTTTGTCTGAGGCAGTGTGGGCAGCGGAGTGTGGAAGGAAGTCAGCAGAGAGCGAGAATGATCCGGAAACACGGGACGGTGAGGCCTTAATTAAAAAGGTTGACTGGGCTCTGCACCAGGAGACAAAGTAATGAGACATGCAAGTCGTCCCGTGAGGATCTCGCTGTCTCTTGCGCAGAAGCATGCAATGCAGACCTTTTTTTTTTTTTCATATCCGATAAGCCATACACATGAGCTCATTAGGTGAGCTTTACTACTTAATTCCCTTCTTAAGCAGTCATGTACCTTAAAGTTGGCACATGATCATGAAAACGCTGCACATAGGTCATTTCTCTCAAGTACAGCCAAGATGTATAGACTGATTTCCTGATGAGGAATCATATGACATGTTAGCCCTGCGGCTCTAATAGCTCTGAATGAGATTTGTAAACAGGGATTTCTCCACAACAGCCACTAACAAAGCATTTCACATACCTGTATATGACACACCGACTTCTTTTAAAGCTCACAACTTGCACATACAGTATATGAAAGTAGGAGAGTATTTGAGAGCTTATCTGTTTGTAATCTAAGCAGACGGTGGGGTTTTTTTTTTTTAGAAACTGAGCTGTGAATTACAGCTGGAACATTTTGTTCTTGTAACGGATGCACTCTGGAATCCAATGTTTCCTTTGTGTAAGCGACAGGTGTGGGAGAATTTACATTCAGACAGCAGTTCATGGCTTTAAACATTTATATGAGTGGCAATGCCTGGGGCTATATCTGTCATGGTATGTATTTTAAGAGGGTTGAACAGGTTCATGTGCAGCGAAACCAGATGCAGCTCATCCGCGACGAGACGCACTGATGTACAGTAGCTAATGACAAGGCTGCGAGTAAGACAGAGTTCAGCCGCTGTGAAAAAAAACAAATAATGTGAGGCGTGCACTTGAGATCAGATCTGTTTGTAAGGGGATGAAATGAGTAATCCTCCATTCCTTCTTTAAAGTCTGTCAGCACGCTGTCGGGCAGCATGGAGCTGTGCGAGACTCCCACTCTGAATGTTTTGTGGGACTTCATGAATCGGGAGGGAGGGTGTTACTGACAAAGTGCATCCGTCCCTGACAAACCTCCAGTGGGTAAATAAAGGTGGTCAAATAAGAAGAGGACAATCACCTCCGTCTCTGTCATGCCAGTTTGCCCTGGTGCTGGCTGGTGAGCTGGGTGACGAGTAGAAGTCAGGTCCTGTTGGGCTGGTGTCCATGTTCTCCTCCATGTTGACAGTTTTGGGCCTTTTACTGTGGGGACATTGAGAAGTTTGGGTTTAATTAGTCATTTATAAAGAGTTATATACTTGATACTAATTACAGGCAGCACAAGTGGATACATGTCTTGGATCACCTGCATTGTGTCATGGCAAAGTTTACTTATCAACCTTGTTTCAAAGAGTTTAATTTGAAAAAAATAACACTGATCTTATTTAATTATGCTTTTATAAGAAGCTAGTGCTCAGAAATGGTTAGCACCCCTTTGCATAATAGTTGGAGGTTGGCGTTGACAGCTTAACTGGTTAAGTCTACATCGAAAAAAAATTTTTTTTGACTGACAAAGTCACTAATGCAATGGTTTATTTGAGCTAAAAAAAATGTCATTTTTTGTGTCTTAGGATAATATCTGTTGTGAGCTGATGCTTTACCAAGAAAGGTTGATTGTTTGATTGAGAGGCCGTGCACCGCCCTTGACATTATTGTGTTCCTAATAATAAAATAAAGCAACACAGTGTCGGTGCAATGCTGTTACAAAAGAAAGAGTTCATCCTTTTGTTACTGACCTGCCGGGAGGGGAGGACAGGGAGCGATGCAGCCCCACGCTGGAGTTCAGGTCGTGGTAGTAGGGTTGGCTGGGCATGTCTGCCATGGAGAAGTTTACCGCCGCGCCATGGGTGATGGGCACTACGGAGGACATGGAGGAATCAAAGAGAGACGGTTAAACTGTAATCACTGCAAAGGAGGACTTCAAAGTCAGTGGTGTTGTCAGGCTGAGTACTTAGTCTATCCCCAGCCTTGCATCTAGAGACGCACAATTAATTGCGCGAAAGCTTGACTGACTGTTATTGACGCTTTGTGCTTAGAGGCGCTCTGTATCAAATTAAGCGCTCCCTTTCCACAGGTTAACTGTCTGACCATCACGGGCATTTCTGCTGAGTACTGTGATTAACAAGTCAGTGCTTCCCAAAGTGGCTGCAGGTAAGCACTTTTTTGCAGAGGCAGGTTTACTGCGGCTGTATCTAATACATTTGTCTTAATCTCTGCATGATTAATAGAACAGTTTTTATTAGGTCTATTTAATAATAAGACAGACTTGTTTTACTTACATGTAAACACACAACATTGGGACAAGAGAATATTTTATTTTTTTAAAGTGTTATACAGAAGCAGATGGTAAAATGTTCCTAATATCTGGATGCCTGCTGCATTTTAAGAAACAACACTAAAGGTAAATTCACAATCATCAACATTTTTTTTTTTTTTTTTTTTACTTTTCCACCACCCGTAACAATACTCAGCATCTTCTCTCGAACTGATTTACAGTGGAATAGGTGTTGTTTTTCTCACTGCGGTCAAGGTGAGGGATATTGTTTCATGGAGGCCTGCTTGGTGTTTACAGAACAAAAGGATTTCGCCACCCATCATCGCGCTCTCTCCCCCTCTCCCTCCTCTGTCTCCTCTCCCTTCAGTGTGTGGCAGCCTGCAGCTCGAGCGGTCGCTCGGTTTGGAGTCGATGAGAGGATGGAGTGTGTGGCGCCGTCTGTTGTGGTCTGAGGTTCACCACTGGCACGATCCCTCCGCCAGCCTCCGCCCTGGCAGCTCACTGTGGCCCTGGCAGCGGCCCCTACCCGCTGCTACCCACACCGAGCTGTCTGTGGAGGAATGCATCCGGCCCAAGGACGCTGAATACAAGACCATTGTTTTGGTTTTTTTTTTTCATTCATGGCTGAGGATACCCCCGTCCATGTCTCACTGTGCTGGGTTCTCTCTTTCTTTTCTTGGCTCGGTGCAATAGTTGTGATGCCGCTTGGCTGCCCAGCCAGTCATCTAATTTAATAATCTGGGCTTTGACTTTTAAGCTTAAAAGCAGCCAACGAGACAATAATGCTGCTAATCATTTGCCACACAGTGCTTCCTCTAGCAGATTACTCCCTCCCTGTACAAGGGGGAAACAGATATTGCACTGGTAAATCAGCAGTTTCATTTCTGTTGACAAATATTTTTTCACTTGCAGGCCAAGGCTCCTGTTGCATTAATGATTGTCCAAAAGCTGGATTGCAAGTCAGCCTTGAACTCCACAGCTCCCTTTGATGGACTTCAAAGAATGTCTCAACGGCCTGGAGAGTTGGGAGAGAAGCGCGATGACGGACGAGCGGCTGCTTAGATATCTTCCCGGGGAGTGACCGGCTGAGTGAGTGACAATTCCTGTGTGTCCGTCGACCTTTTTAAAATTCCGGCTCGACTTCAGTTGGCTTTAGAGAAACAGGACTCGGTCACATGAGAGCAAACACGCCGGCGCAGCAGCCATCTGGTCAGGGGGCAAATTAAACACTAAACAAAAACACAGGCTTTCAGAGGAGATTCAGTCTGTGAGCACTGAAGGAAGCAGGAAGCAAGAGTATGGGACTATTAACCATGCTCCTACATCAGAAACACTTCAATACATTAAGTACAAAGAAATACAGTGGGCCTTCATTGAATATGTTCCAGAGGACATCACCATGTGGATGGCTAGAAAAGTTAGGAGCCTCATTATATACTGTATATACAAGTTTGATTTAAAAACTGTAAGTCCTTCTTTTGCTGAATTAAAATTCCTCATCACTGAAGTTGATGTGTATACTGTATAAATCTAAAACTATACCTGATAAACATTTCATTCTAAGAAGCCTCACAGCTACAGGCAATGCAAGCCAGCCATTCAAGGTGAATTCATATATTTTTGATTGTGATAAATGAACAATGTCCCTTTTCAAATAAAGAAATTAAACATCTGCCAATTGTTTTTCTTGACTAGTCGTGTGGTGTAGAAAAAGCTACAGATGGCAACTCTGTTTTCTCCAACAAACGGTCCATTACAAAATCACATACGTCAAGACAAAGTCCTCATATATGAGATGCAAGAGCAGTTATACCAGTATTAATACCAGTATCATTACATCATCAAATTCATCTACAGATTGACCTTTTTAATAAATTAACTAATAGTTTCAGCTGTCCCTCACTTTAAATATTGTTTATTTTAGTGCTGACCAATATTATTATCCATTTTTTTTTCAATTTGATATATGAGGATGATACCCAAGTATCACCTTTATATATCAAGAGGCAGTAAGTCCGTCTGTAGGCACTTGTGTTGGGATCAGGTGGGTTGCCAGTTTAAGTCCTGGTACATACCAAAGTAAGGAGATTGGTCTTGTTGCTGGAGGCAAAACACTGAGTCTAGTCATAGTGCATACTGAAACACATACACAGCAAAGCACAGCATAGGTATGTCTCTTTTAAACACAGGTTGTTGAAGGTGACTGACTATAGTCTTTCAGTAACGCAGGCACGTTCCAAAGCTACAGTTCAGAAGCAGTGCAGGTAAACGGCGCCTCGGGGTTGCCTAGCTATCAGAGGCATGAGGACTCCAGAACAACCGTCAACGGCTTTGCGGAGGGCAAGACATGTCCGTACAGATGCACACAGGCTCATGCAGACGTCTGCGCAGTCGAGTGTTCTCTTTGTGCGGAGCAAACTGGCCGAACTTGAATGACTACACAACAGTTGTGCCGTGGATTTCAGCTCATTACCGTTGGCTCAGCGCGCTTTCTGCCGTTCAAGGAAGAAGTTGCTGTGTTTAAATGAAAATAAATCAGTCTACATTTGAGGACAGATTTAAAGTCTCTACATACCCGAGACTTTCAGGCGTGTTACCTGATTGCACTTCTTCTCAGGGCTGTGTGGGCGTGTATAGACTTCATTGATTGACATCTCCCTGACTCTCATATTAATTATGTTGCACCTGTTAGGGCATGGAAACGTAAACCTTCAACATTCCTGTAAGCACAAGAACTTTCGGTGTCCTCATTTGATTCCCTGCTAGGTTGAGGCACCAGAGGTCTAATCGCAGTGATAAGTGAAGTGTGTGTGTGTGTGTGTGTGTGTGTGGAGGGTAACAGACACACCCAAAAAATAGAAATGGAAATAGAATGACATCTGTGCACTTACTTCTGGAAACTCGCACCAGTTCTGTAACACTGAAGACTCCTGATTTGATGAAGCTGTCTTCCAAGTAGACTGTAGACAAAGAGACAAACAGAAATCATTTTATTCTCATTGTAGCTTTGTTTGAAGTCAATTAGGAATTATCTAATGTAGTCAAATGGAAACAGAGACAATATCTTCTTTCAGTCTGAATCAATGTTTTGTGTACTTATATTAAATAACAATGTATACATGGAAGAGTCGGACTACAAGATCGTTAAAAAGACTAAGGATATACTGTACAGTTGCAGATATTCACACAACGAGGTAGGCGTTTTTTTTTTTAACCTGATTAAAAAGAAGCATGTCGTTTTGTGTTTTCCTTTTTTATCCAGCATTTTTCACGTTTGCTTTCCTGAATTTAGAGTTATCTTTGTTTCACTGCATTTCCAGGAGATTTAAGCTGTGAAACATGGATTTGAAAAGAAAAGTATCCAACAACAACAACAAAAAAAATAATAATAATCAGTTGAAACGTAATAGCATCAAATGCATCTGTGGAGTACAGCAGAGAGTGACGGGACAGGTGTGTGCGGAGGACTCGAGCTCCTGCTGCTGCGAGTACAACCACTGAGCCTGTGCTGAGCCCCAGGCGCTGCCCATTTCATTAAACACACAAGCGAACCTTAAATATCAGTCAATATTGACTCTGACAATACTGCTAAGAAACAGTGTAACAATGAGACAAATCCAGCTTGAAGAGTTATTTAAGGACGAGAGTAAATAAACTTCATTTCAAAGAAAATTAAAGCTAGATTGTTTCAACACAGCCAGATTTTTTTCTGGTGTTTTTTTTCCTCCAAAAATATCTTTGGACAGAACAAATGACCAGTTGTTAAGTATATTATGTATTTGTTGTGTTCTGTGTGATCTGCATCTCCGCAGCAGTAATCAGAGGTTGTCTGTCAAGTAAAACAGCCAGACAAGTTATTGAGAACCAAATGTCTCCGGCTTGGCTTTGATGCGATGCCAGTGGCACTCAGTCCGTGCCTGTCAGATAGGCGGGCGGCTCGATTGGCACCTACAAAGCCCTAATGCCTCCAGTGAGCCAACGGCTTTTGCGGGGAACTGTGCTGCTGCTGCCGAAGGCCTCCGAGGCCTGAGTCATTGGCTCACCGGCATGTTTTCCTTGGCACCTGCATCGGCAGAACCTGCTCTTGAGGTAGAAAACTAATTACACTCCTTCAACTATTTTCATTCCAACATTGTGACGACACAGCACAGGTCAGTCCGGGGGAACAACAGCGCTGCTGGAGAATAGTCTCTCCTTGACTCAGTCGGGTACCAGCCAACAAGGCAGTTTGTAAACATTTCAACTCCTGATCTGTAGCACCTCTCTATTTTTATTCTCTGTGTTTGTGTTGCCACTGGAGTGATGACGATTAAAAACTAATGATCCAATTAAATTTTATTCCTCCTCTGAACAAAGTTAAAAACTTTGGCTCGAGCCAGCGGGAGTCATACAAAGGTCAGAAAATGACTTTTATTATCTATCTATTATTACTAATAGCTAATTATCATTACAGCAAATGTGTTGTTTTGTGTTTATTACTGTGACATTTGTGTTTTTCAAATTTAGGGAGGGAAAAGGCTTCTCAGTTATGTATGCACCTTTTTTTAATTAGCAACGTCTTTCTCTCTTTGTCTGCAAGTCACTGAGTTCACCGCAGATCAGCACTATTTAAACTAGGTAAGCTACGGTGTACACAGGCCGCTGTGCAAAGGGGGAGCTGCAGAGGAACAATAGAGTGATGACAGGAGGGAGGAGGGAGGATGACTGGTACTGTACATACCTGGAAGAGGGGTCTTGCCTGGCTCATTGTTACTGGGACTTCCTGACTGCTGTGAGTCTGCAAACACACAGAGAGAGGAGGGGGAGGGGGGTTACAACATGCCATCTTACTGAAACACGGTGTTCTTGTCAGAATTGATTATTATCAGCAAAGATAACAAAGTTGCTGGGTCAAAAGGCTGCATCTTTTACCAAAATGAGGACCTTTACTATTTGAGGACTTGAATCTTTTTTTTCAGAATTGATCAAGCGTTGTTTGACTAGAACAAAGTCACTCCTTGTTATACTTAGTTGTTATAACTTCTGTAAAGACAGTAAGCTAGACAGGAAGCCTTCCTGGACTTTTTCCTTATCTGCTAGTCAAGAAGAGCTTACCAACTGAAGATTAAACATGACAGTTCTGTTTAACAGCATTATCAGTAATGGGAGGGAATATGGAAGAAAAAAAACTGTGTCTGACACAGAAGAGCGTGATAGTTTTGTACTGGCAGACGTCTGGGTCATTTTTCAAAGAGGCTAAAGGAGCGTAAGGAAGGGGGGGGGGGGGGGGGAGGATACAGAATGTGTTCAGTCCTGCTGTGCGAGGTACGAGTACAGGACAAAACGCAGAGAAGACAAGAGGGGCGGGGAAACACAAGGAAACGTGCGGAATTCTTTCCACTGGCTACGGTGCGCAAGGGTTGGTATGAGGTGGCCAGGACTGACGTCTTTAAGCTTGATGACGTGATGGGAGGGGAACCAATCAGTCCTCAAGAGTTCCTGCTTCTGATCACTGACAGGTCAAATTTCTTTTTACAGCGAAAGCTATGAAACCTCAAAATACAATGTACACAGCATTGTCAGGTTTTACAGACAGAAAACAATTAAGCAAGGCCTTCTTATCACGCATGAAGTATCACTGGACTGCTGCCATGCTAAACAGTGACCAGCAGCATCTAAGCGGACCCCCTTAATGTCTCAAACTGGCTCAAATCCACACATGCCCCGAGCCAGAGAGGGCCCAATAAGAACCAAAGGGAGATTAATATCTACGCATTTAACACCAGAAAGCCGCGACAAGAAGAGGCCGACAGTGAACTCAGATACCCTCGCATTGCAACAACACCCCTTTTCCTGCCGCAGCTCTCATGAGCTGTGTTACAGAGGCAGCGGAGAGTGGGGGGGGCGGGGGGGGGAGAGAAGGGGGGCTGGACAAGAAGGAAGAAAAAACATTTAAAAGATTTATCCCTTTCTTGTTCTCTCTCTCTCTCTGCCTCTCTCTCTTGTTCCCCCTTTCCTAAATTTGACTATTAAACGGCACAGCAAAAACAGAATGTTCTTGGCCGAGGCTCAACAATGACAAAGTAGGGAAGGAACAGGACCATACGTTGAAAAGGAAAAAAAAAAAAAACCCTTCTCTTTCCAGTCTGCTAAGTTCCCCCAAAAAAACGCAAGTAACTTACAAGTTGGGGTCTCACAATGGAATTCTGCTCTGCTTTGTTCAATAAGAAAAACACAAACTTGACTTGTGTTTTCTTGTCATGTGTTCCTACAGGTATTAAGGTATCTCTGTTAAATCTCTCATGTGCGCATGAAAAAGAAGATGACAGGTTAAAAGCAGTAAGGACTTGAAAAATATGAAAAAAATGAACAAGCATGAAAATACCACGATCCAAAGATGACATTTTCAAATGGGTTGTTTTCACTGAATAACAATTTGAACTCTCCCCAAAGAGATTGAATTAACATAAATACAAATACAATAGAAAAAACGGCTGAAAAGCTGGGACAACATAATGATGAGCATTTGTCGGTGATAAATTACTTTGACAAATTATCCAAATTGCTGAATTTTAAGTTTCTGCCACTTCAATACTGTAATGTGTACAATATAAGTTCAATCTTGTGAACCAACGTGTTCAAGCCATCATCTGACGTCAGCAAAATGCAAAGTCTCCTCTGCCTTCAACCACTGAGCAATGAGCCCCTTAGGTTGCCCCCTACAAACACACACACACACACACACACAGTAAAAGCCTGGTGTGTGGGCGGAGTTTGTATGGATTTGGCACGGCACATGTCCATAAAGTGATTGCAGGGAGCTCAGCGGCCTTGTCTCCCTGTCTCCTCCTGCCCCCCCAATGCCACTTTCAGAGTCATCCATCAGTCTAGTTACGACTGCCAACTCCATACTCATGCCCCGAGAACTGCTGAGAGGGAAGAAACAGGCGAGGGGGGAAAAAGAGAAAAGGGCACGGGAGGGTAGAGAAGAAGTAAATGCTCAGAAGGTGGTGAGGGGAGAAAAGAAGTGAGGAGGTGGAGGTGGGAGAGGTGGGAGAGGTGTTACGATTCATTTGGATAGGATCACAGTTAAGTGTTTTTGTTCTTCCTTTCTCCTCTTCGAGGCCTGAACAGGCAAACCATGACAAAAAGAGCAGATGGTGGTGGCAATTAGAGATCCCAGGCAGCATCTTCCAGCATGAGGCCCCACTGTAGCACCAGGAGAGACCACCTGGATGACTCAAGGTGGGATGGAAGCATATGGCGCATCTGCTAGGTCTGCACCGGAGCAGGGAACACCTCCCCCTGTTGCATTACATTTTACCTTTGACCCAAGAAGAAGTGGCCTCTTGCGCCTGCGTCTTCTTGCAGTTCTACATTGTTTGGAGCAGTGCTTGCACATTTGTCAGGCTTCGAATGTGGTGATTATACCTACTCAGCACTTATTATATGTCTAATCACCTTTATCACTCAACAGGTATTTAAATAAAGCCTCCATTTAAGTCTGAAAAGGGATGATTGTGGATGCAAATGGGAAAAAAAAGGCTGATATTTAAAAAAGGAGTTGAGATCGTGGCAAAAGTAAAGTTAAGAAGGAAAATATTAGGAGAGCTGAAGTCTGGTATCAATATCTAAAAGGTGTCCTGTGCAGAAGCCCAGCCAATCCGATAGTCTTCAAATAAACAGTAGTGAAACCTGTAAATAAACAGTTGCGGTCGAGGAGGCTGGGCTTTGCCCTGGGAGCTTGGCAGGGCTTGATCACAGGGCCAGACACCACACACACATACACACACACACACACACACACCCTCAAAGACGCACGACACACTTTAACACACACACTTTCACACACACACACACACACACACTGACATACTCATATAAACACTGCTGTACACACACGGCCCTCTTCCAAAAACAACATTTCTTGGCACCCTCCGTCCCGGCCACTTGTTTAAATAAACAAACCGGTTCATGAAGGAAGTGAAAAAAAACAGAAAAACGTATGATTCGGATTATCTGCTGTTACTCAGCAAAAAAAAAAAGTGAGGGGGGGGGGAAAAAGCAGCCGAAGGGGCTTGTGGGTATTCTGGACGTGTCCACGAGTTCTTACACCTTCTTGTCCGGTGGGATACTTATCATACCACTGTAACGATTAGGGCAATTAGGGGTAATGGCAACAGAAATCTGGCTCTGCAAGAAAGTTTCTTGTGAGGTTTCTCCACGCCCAAGTGTGTTACTTGCCTGGATTTTATAATCACTAAAACACTCACACACACACACACACTAACACACACGCTCCCTAAACCACCCGTTCGTTTTTTTGGCATGGTACCCATTCTGTTCCCACTAAATCGCAGAACACACATGCACATGCACACACTGTGTGGATTAAATTGGCCACATAGTTTGGGAAACTTTCTCTTTTTTTGACACTGGCGGTGCGCGTTCCTCGCCCGCAAACACTTACAGACACGTACAGCCATCCTCCACACACAAAAAAACAGTGTGCACGCGCAACACGCACACCCAGCAGATGCATACCGCTGTCGACATTTCAGGAGGAGAAGCCTGTCTGGCAGCCATTTTATGCCGAGTGGGGTTCTGTGCACATGTATAGCACTCTGGCTGCCAGAGGCATGGGTCCCGAGCCAAGACGCATTTCAGCAGCCCGGGGAGGCGAGGGGAGGGGAGTGTGGAGGAGAGGTAGAGAGGTGGAGAGGGGTGGACCCCTGTAAAAGTAGGGAAAACAGAGAGAGGGAGAGGGGCACAAAATATCGACCTAATTATGGAGCAGCACCGATGTGTAATGTTTCGACAATACAGCTGCTCCTGAGTAAATATTTGATGTGGCCAAGCAAAGACTTTCTGCTCAGCGTCCTCCTGCTTTTCTTTCCTGTTCCGCTGCACGAGGCTCCAGTTTGTCCTTCCTTGGAAATGCACAACCAAAAATATGTGTGTGTGTGTGTGTGTGTGTATTTGTGTGTGTAGCACAGTCGTGCAAGACTTGACAGTATGCATAAATGACTGTGCATGAGCCGGTATGGAATGTGTGTGTGTGTGTGCATGTGTGTGCATGTGTGTGTACTTTGTCCCGTGTCCTCCTCTGCTCCTGGTTTCTATCATTCACAGCTTCGTCGATGACCTCACACCGCTCAGGCTGGCTTCCAACAGCCGGCAGAACCTGCTCTCTTCTCCAAATCTCTTTTCTTTCTTCTCCTCGCTATCTGTCTATCGCTGTCCCTGTGCCTGCAACAGTATCCGTCTTCTATTGTATCTTTTCATACCACAGTCTGTGATATCTACTATTCAGTGTGTATCCAGGAAGATATCATCTTATCCACTGTGACGATTGCACACTATATCTTTCTTTCAATTTTAAGATTTTCTCTTTTTTTTTTACACCTACATGTTCCTCCCTTTGAAAGTCTCCGTCTGCGTTGTTCTCTCCTCCCTTGCCGCCTTTTTAATGCCCTCTCTCTATCTCTGTTTCTTTCTCTTTATCTATCTCTCTCTGCTCTCCCTTCCTCACGCTTTGTTGTCTAAACAAAGTGGCCTTTATCAGGATGAGCCGCAACCCAAACAGGCCAAACAAAAGATATGGGCGAGGAAATCTGCCTGTAGAAGAGGGAGGATCTTATTGTGCCAGCCATTGTGTGCCAGCCTGCCAACTGGCGATGCCCCCCACTGACGACCCCTTCACTGCAAATCCACACACACACACATTTTGGTATCTCTGACCCCCCCCCCCCCCCTAAATCAAACTAAGCATTGTGGATTTCAAAGCGCTGGCACCTG